ACTGCATCTATACTAGTGAGGACAGTTTCTGTTCCCCAGATACCCTGCATGTACAGCAAAGTTATATCCACTGCTTCCTTATTTTTTTATAAATATGGGAAACGTTTCCTATGAGCATGAAACTCCCAGGGGTAATCAAGGCCGATCAGGGCTCTGTGTGAGCAGCAAGGCCGATGGCGAAGCTCAGTCTCGTGGGAGAATCTGACTGTGTGTCTCTGCTTGTTAGGGAGAAAGATTACAGCGCACTCAGCTTCATCAACACAGCAGGGTCCTGATGCTAACGCTCTTGACTTAGCATGGAGCCCAAACCCCAGAAACTGGTTTCAGCCGACATTAGAGCTGAATGGCTCGAACTTTTTTTCGTTAACTTTTTAAACATTTTTTAAAGCTCTTGTGGAGGCATCTGAACTAGGAGAAGTGAGAGACAGCTAGTGAGAGACAGCAGGTGAAAGCTAGCGACAGCATAGTGATGTTGTGTAATCTGAGTATTTGGGACTTATTCAATTAGACTTTAATTAAATATAGTGCTTTTGAATTAAAGAAATGCATAGAAATGCCTCTTAATTTCCTTTTCTCATCAATTTGAACATAATCTTACAATACAAAGACACTGTCAGGTTATTTGTTGGATCTAATGCAGCAGTGTCATGACATAAGAAACAAATGCGGCTGTGATGCAACATTTAATTTACACAAATCCAAAGTCTAAAACCTCAGTTCACCTAAAACTTCAACACTATTTTGTTGAGAATCTACCTTTGACTCATATTACAACTGACTTGAACCAACACTGATGCTATCACTGAAAAATTTGCATACTGAATTATGAATGCTCTTCTGTTTTACCTTTATTTACATACTAAATTGTGCTAAAACAGCCAGTTTTATGAATAGCCAATGTCTAAAAACATAACTTTAACACTGTTGGAGCAGTTGAGCCAGTATTGGAAAATCAGAAAAGGTTTTCATTTTATTGAGGTCCATTAACACCAAGAATGATAGCTATATACATATCGATCACCTATAATATATAGATAATAATAATAATAATATATATCAGCACCCACTCTAACGATAATAATATTTTATTTTAAGCACAAGCTGCAGTTATTTCGTCATTAGATTCTAACTATTAGAACGATTATTAAAACTTTACATTTATAGTTGTTATTATCAGTCTTGGTGTGAACGGCCCTCTACTCCAACAACCTGTATCTAGGGTCTTTGCTCGCATCAGACAATATGTTTTAAACCGAGGATAATGAGAATGAGTCAATGTGTTAGAGACTATGCTGTAGAAGAAAAAAGTGTTCATGGGGTGAGTATGCTGGTTCGTTAATTTCTCTCAAATTAGAACCATCATCAAAAAGTCCACACCAAGGCTAAAGACGATAGCCATATGAAATATACAGTGGGTACGGAAAGTATTCAGACCCCCTTAAATTTTTCACTCTTTGTTATATTGCAGCCATTTGCTAAAATCATTTAAGTTAATTTTTTTTCCTCATTAATGTACACACAGTTTTAGCAAATGGCTGCAATATAACAAAGAGTGAAAAATTTAAGGGGGTCTGAATACTTTCCGTACCCACTGTAATTCACACTGTATATGGTTGTCAGACACACACACACACGATAGCGTGAGAAAAAAAAAAACCTTAGATAAATAGGTTGAGCTCCTTTTGCTCACATGTGTCAACAAAGCCATCAGGGTCCAAAATCTGAAAGATAAGGAATCAATTTCTGTAAAAATACAAATGTGAACACACACAAAAAAGCCCCTGTCAAGAATTCTGAGGGTCTTTCAGTACTTGAAAAATGGGGTAAAGCCTCATGGGAGAAGGGAGCCAGCGTGTCGCTGGATACCCGGTCCATTAATGTCAGTCACAGTCTGTGACACACAATGACCTTCTGTTTCTCACTTCATCCTGTTCTTACATCTGTGTTTCCACCAGAACAACATGAATTTAAACAGCAGCAGAAGTGGACACAGAATCAACGAGAAGTTCAAACGAGGAGAAAGAAGGTCAACAAGAGATGGGAGCTTTCAGAGAATAGCAAGGGGAGATGGGCCATTTAAATCCATCAGGTTCAATAAATATCTGGCTCAAGGGCACAGCATTGGACCCTCCCAGCTTCAGTGGACCGTATTAAGGACTGTAAGAGGGTATATGGATGGTTGGTCTTGTTAAAGACAGTACTGCATGTGTCACTGGTAGAGCTACTGATGTGTAGACTATCACAATACCTCATAAAACTCTCAAGGGCACAGCTCTGCTCCACAATCTAGCGAGCTACCCACCTCAACAGCATTTTACAACCAAAACTCAATGGGGGGAAAAACAGTGCCTCAACTGACATTTTTGCAAAATTCCAAAAATGTACCTACACATACAATTCATTGCAGTTTCCATATGAAATGAACATTAAAACACCAAAAACTTTTCACACAAAAAGTGTTTAGAGAAGCAGATATAATGTTAACAAAGAATTAAGTATGGTTCCTCGCTCAATACTATGTTATGTCCTTAAACACTTTTACCATAGTGCATGATTTGAAAATGACGTTTGTATCACATAACTAGCTCCATATGTATGGCTTTTCTGACATAGCAAACTTGCTCGGTAGCACACCTTTTAGAGCAATACACTCAGGTAAGGGTACTGTGAAACAAGAGTCATGATCAAAGAGCTCAAAAACTTGTAGAAGCAAGCTAAATGGTATGGTTGTTCCAGCAAATGTGTTTCTATCTCATTTTGGTTTAGTGTACATGGTGTGTTATTTTCTAACACAGTAGAGGCCTTTAAGAGCCACTGTAGTGCTGCAATATATACAGCAACCAATGTAATAACTTTGCCAGATTCATCTCTTTTTAAAACATCTACTGGACTATTAACTTTGAAAGTGCTGGCAAATGTGCAAAAATCAAATACAATTTTGCAGAAATATTGGCACAGGCACGTTTTCCAATAAGCCTGGGTTAGAATTTTAAAATTATTGTTAATATTTTAAAATACATTAAAGAAATAGTTCACCCAAAATGACAATTCTGTCACCATTTACTCACCATCATGTCATTTCAAACATATATGACTTTTTCTTCTCTGGAACAGATGTTTAAAGAATGTTGCCACTGCTCTTTTCTATTCAGTGACAGCATATAGGCTAATTTCTCAAAGCATAGTGAGCTGCCTTCTAAGGTAGCATACTAATTGAAACAGAATCTAATAAGAGATCAATTTGTAACACTGTACATTGACAGTAGCACTCCTCACGTGAAGACTTAAGCCACAATTAATTTCAACAGAGTTTGCTGTTAGCATGTTGCTAATCCTAAGCTTTATTAAAGACAATTCAATAAGCATAAAATTACCTAGCACATACAAATGTTGGATAAAATAGGTAATCTGTGAATTAAATTGATCTAACTTTAACTTTTATAATCAATACTTTTTGGTACTAATCAATTTTTATTGGAAAGAAAAAAGATATTTACATATAATCAACATAAGCAGCTCACTAGGCTTTGGAATGGAGCTATAGTGACCAGGGGCTGTCAAGCTCCCAAAAGTGCCATAAAATAGTTTATAAAATCTATTCATTATATTTTGAGCTTTCTGTAGTTTCTTTGTATGAGGAACAAATGGAAATTTCTCAATTATTCATTATCTGCAGAAGCTCTCAATTCTCATTCACATGTCTGTATACTGAAACATAATTACAGACAGATCACAAATGCAATATGTCAAACCTGGCATGATGCATTTTTACTTCAGGATGAGTAAGTGTTGATAGATTTTTTTGGAGTGAATTATTTTTTTAAATATTGTTTTAGTAGTCACTGCACATTTAATCATTTTAGACACAATCCCAACAAGTTTGTGTGGAGCCCTGTCAGGTTTAAAGGTTCACTACATATTTATACGCAGATATATGCACACAATATACTGTATACACACACAAACACTGCAGTGCTGTCTTGGTGACAGATATTTTCTACGATGTTGAAGGACGGCTTTAAATACACACTCTGAACCATGTCTCTAAAGGCTTTGCCAATAATAAATTCACGCGCATACGCAAAGAAACACAGATGTCAGTGCAGTGATCGGTCGAGGGCTGTCGATGCCTGCAGACACTCTGAAATCACATCAAGGGCAAAGGCATTACACACTACACGTTATGGCAGTGACACATTCACTGTGTTCATAAAAAAGATAGATTTCCGGAGAAATGCCATTTACATTAGCTTCCATTTTCCCTCTCCCAGCCTAAACTGTGCTCATAATGTTTAATTTGGCTCATAAAGGGGAGCCTGGAGCATGTGTCACACAGAGTTCTGTGGAGCAGACCATGAGATAAGGGTTTTTTCCTTTTTTTTTTAATAAAAAGAGGGAAAAAGAACTGGCTTCAGCTGAAGTGGAGCTGATATTGAGCTGTGATTACTATGCTGACTAAAGCCTGAGGCTAAAGATATTAGCTTTACTCTAAATTCTCTCTGCTGCTCATTGCGGGCTTTTTTTTCTTTTTTTTTTCAAAAAGTACCAGTAATGTCAACTTTGTTTCAGTCTTCGGATTCGAGCAGAGTGGGCTATGGCATCAATTAACAAGCTCATTAGCTGTCTAATATTAATTATCATCATTACATGCTTTTAATGAATGATGTCTTGGGGGAGGCATGTCCTGCAAACATTTACCATGTGTGAATTTAACATTCTCACCTTCTACCTGTCATGGCACAGGCGACACACATTTTGGCAACAATGAACAAAAACTGCCACAAGAGGTTTTGACACATTGGCTGTAGCATGATTTGAATGCTAACTGGAACATAGCATAAATGGACAGTAGTGATTTTTTTTTTACATGAGCAGAACTTTGTGAGCTGTGTGTCATTTCTCCAATAGACTGAAATAATTTCAGCACTGCATACAAATTGAACTAAGGCCTAAATTAAAACTTTTAATGAAAGATCAATAACAGTTTGGGCCTTGTTTACCTCATGCCTCGGGTGGAGCGGTTGTTGTAGTTCTGCAGCAGCTGAGGCAGTCCCAACATGGCTTCAAACATCACAGCCAAAGAGCCCAAGGCTTCCAAAAATAGGACCCAGTCCAGAAAGAGGAACGTTATAAAAGCACATAGCAGCGTGAAGGCAAAGCAGAATATCAGATAGTCCTCAAAAGAACTCCAGCTCCAGAAATACCGAAGGTCCAAATCTGTAGGAGAGACAAAGAAAGAAAGACAAAAAAGGATCATAAAAATATTTCATATACAGACAATGTGTTATCTCCAAGCATCTCTCTATAACACTACCCAAGAAAATAAGAAAGGGAAACTTTAAAGCATTTTATCATTAGTATGCATTTCACAATGCTCAACACCTCACACAAACTCTCTCATGCTATATGAAAAGTTAAATGAGCTTTGAAACCTGTGTGCCTCTTTCTGCAGATCTCCATTATATAAAGAATCTCATTTACGACAACTCAACATTTCATTTACAATTTTCCTGAGAGCTGTGAAATAAATGGCCAGGCTCTCCAGGGGAACACAGCCAAACATTCTGCAGTGAGGATTAAGCACTCGCATAAAATAAAGACAAAACCTTGACTGTTCTCCAGTCAGCAGAAAAGAAACCATATATATACACAATACAGATACACATATGGAGAGAGATATATTATATATATATATTTTTTTTTTTCCTACTAAAAACTTTGTATAAACGTACAGAAATTATACAGAGATTGCAGCACAAAATAAATAATAAATAAACTTAACAAAAATAGAAATCATTAAAATATCTTGGTAACACTTGAAGCCTTTATATATAAAGCATTATAAAGGTATTCATAATGCACGCTGTAATACATTAGCCCTATATCTTTTCATATCTATTTGTAACCAAATTAAAAAGCATTGTAATATTAGCAGATTCCATGTTACATTTGAAATTAGTTGTTTGTAATGTTTTAATTAGTGCTGTCAAATGATTAATCGCGATTAATCATTTGACAGCACTAGTTTTAATGCATTATACTTTCTAAAATTTAAACAATGAATAGATAAGTACTATATTGTATTTTAACTTAGAGATTTTCATGAAATCATGCAACGAAGGAGCATTACAAAGAATAAATAAAGCATTAAAAATGTGTTATATAAAAGCGCACCAAGTAACCTACATTTTTTCTATATGAATTTAAAAAGTGCCAAATGATAATTGTAGAATTTTGATCAAATAAACAGTTAAGATGAATTAGTACATTTGTATCTAGTGATCATCTCTAATTAATATAAAAATGGAAATGTTATTCAAATTAATGGCAAATGTGCACTGTAAAAAATGATTGTGATTTTAACAGTAAAAGACTGTAAAAATGCTACAGTAAATGCTACACCTGTTAACTGGTTATCAGTAACTTTCCATACTATATACGGTGAATAACTGTAATTACATTTAATGTAATTTTACAGTAAAATACTGTTAAAATTACGGTTTTTGGAAGTGAAAAAGAAAAAGTCATTGTATAATTTACATGTTTCTTCTTAGCTTTTTCTTATCAGTTGTGTACATTCGGGTTTTATCTTGCATCTAATGTTGTTAAATGAATGTTTATTGCATTATTTCAGTATCATATGTGTTACCATAATGGTGTTTAGTATTTGTGTGAATGACACTGTGCACCTTCTATATATAAGTATTGCCCTCCAGCTCGTAGAAAAGCTGTTTGTGATGAGCTTTGGTTCATCGTGACTTTCTCATCACCACCAGTTTTTGGTGGTTATCAGTGCATTACAATGGTTCAAAACAGATATTAACACTTCAATATGTTGGTTTATTAACATTACATCA